ACATCTGGTGAAAATTTCATGTCATTAGCACCTCTAGTAATATATTTACTGAGAAAAATGGTGACGTGTTCAATACTTATTTTACCCGCTGTAGATGTGTATACCAGAAATGATATTAAGAAGGTAACAAACACAAGTACACACACGCACGCACACACACACGACCACATGCACTAAGGTTAACCTCTCAATTACTTGCCTCATGTTAACCCTAACATAAACTCCATTCATACCTACTGTAAGGGCTAACCTTAACCCCTGACCCACAATAAGCGTTTTCCCTTGTGAGGACCATCCTCACAAGGGAAAACGTCCTCACAGTGATACTTATAAGTGCGCAACACACACACGCACGCGCGCAACACACACACACACACACACACACTTCCTGACTTCCTGTTTTTGTCTAATCATTAGACATATAAGGTTTTCCCTTTTCCAACACACCTGATTCAGTGATTGAACTACCTGTTCAAGTTCTGCACAAGTCAGTTAATCACGCATTCATTCTCAGGCTTTAGAGGGGCATCGTTTCAACTCTCTCTTCAGCCCATTTTCTACTTTTTCTATGTACCACTGTACCAACTCAATAAATTATTTCAGATTTTCATTAATAGCCAGGGCCAGAACTTTAATGTGTTAATTATGATTAGTTAATACCAGCATAAAAAATGAATTAAAAAATTAACCCAGTTAATTGCACCTTCTCGGTTCTCCACTGGCACACCACACGACTGCAGCTCTGAGTGGAGGGGATGCACCTGAAGTTTGTTTACAAGCTGCACAGAGCTGGAGGTGTTTACAGTGAGGAACAAGAGGAATGATCTGCTTTGTTTTCTGAGCAGAGCATTTAGAAAAATGCCCATGGTGCTGTCGTGAAGAAGAACAATGTGGAGTGTAAATTGTGCCTAAAGGAAATTTCTCAGCGCAGAATGTGGAGCCTAAGGGATTGTAACTTTGCACAAGGTGAGCCAGTGGACTACCACAACTTTCATTGTGCAATGGCAAAAAAGAAGCTGTGAACACAAAAAACTCACACTGAAAACAATTAAAAACAGAGCTCCAAATACCTTGCAGTGATGACATGCTTCATTCGCGCTTCATGCTCACACACATGCCCCCTTCAAAGCAGCGTTGGACCCCTGGCGTTAGGGTGAAGACGCCCTCTTCTAAAATCATAGCTAAAAGCCTGATTCAAAGCAGCTGTTTTGAAGCAGAGAAACAAATCAAACCTGCAGTATAGCAGCCCTCAAGGACTGGAATTAACAACTCCTTGTGTAACCCCAACCTTTCTGACAATACTTCTAACAACAAAACCACATATGGAGACTCAAACTGAATGCGTTTGTCCTTTTGATCCTACTCAAAGTCACGCTCCACAAAGATAATGACCTCTAGGATCTCCTAAATATAGATAATGAAGATCCCAAACAAGTGCTTCCACATTCATTCTTTCCTGTTTCTCCCAACAGGAGCTCTTGGAGATTGAAGCGGAGTTGCGTAAAGTTGCCGCAGAGCTGAGGGAGCTTCGCCGAGGATGAAAGTTACGCACAATCCCCCAAACAGAGCTGGCTGGAACCCCCCTTTTGTTTCAGACACATTAAAATCACACATTTTACGTAACAGCCTTCACAATCCTTACAACTCTCAGACAGTCTTTGGATGTTCATGGATATTAGTAGAAACTGGATGTTCTGTTGTTCTATGTCCATGTTTTAAACAAATTTTCTCCAGTTGAAGAGTTTTGTTGAAGAAAAATCAAAGTCAGCTCATTTTTTTCAGAGCTTGTGTCCATCTTTGGTTTCCCTGTCTGAGTAAATGTTGTTTGTAAAATAGACAGGGTGCTTACACATTCTGTTGCACTTTCACAAGCTCATGCACTTTTATCCAAACGTTCATTTTTACTACAAAATACTACCAGTCAGTGTGTACCGATGCGGAGAAATGTGTAGATATTTTGTGCAATAACGAATAACTATGTGACTGTTAATGATAATGTTTGTATTTATACCCGGAAATTAGTCACTATTTCCTCTTCGTTTCTTTGAAGATCTAGTCGAAGCACGGATTGTGTTTAATTTGGCTCATGCACTGTTAAAAACACGACTGTTTGAGATGAACCGAAGTGACACAAGCCAAACACACTACAGGGAGTTCTTTGTGAATTTGCACACCTGAGTTTAACGTCGGGTTCATCCTTGGCGCGGTTGGTGGCGTGACGGCAGAATGTGATGTTCTTAGAGCTTACAAGGTCTAAAAGTGTCACTTCAGGTTCTTAGCCAGCTTTGCACTCTCAACAAGCCAAGGAGTCGAAGAAAGGAGGAGGGACACACTAAAGCCATTTGTTGTCTTGGAGTCAGCGACGTGACAATACTCTGACGTAATAATCACCTGTAAAGTCATCGGAAAGGAACGTCCGTCTTTCAGATCTCTGATTTATCAGGACATCAACAATGATCTGGTCTTTATCAGGTTCTAAATTTATTAAATCTATTCTCAAGTGTACAAAAACTGATTCCATTATTTCATTTTTAAACAAATGAAGCTAAAATGGAAAAGTTGTGTGAAAAACTAATAACGATTTATGTTTTAAAGTCTTCAACCTCTTTTAAAAACAGAAACTCTCATATGGGAAGAAACTTGTGTCGCCAGAAATGCTCTGACTGAATCCGCATTTGCATAATTTGAAATTAAATACATTGGTTTGAAAATGAATTCCAATGCTTTTGGTAGCCTTGAATCTGACATGTGATTTAGATAAAACTAGGGATGCACGATATTTCGGCATTAATATCGGTATCAGTCCAATATGTAAAACTGGGCCGATATTAACGTCCGATATTGATTTCCCACTCTTTAGCTTTGTTTTTTTTTTGTTTGTTTGTTTGTTTTAGGAGAGGAGATGGTTGGTTGAGCAGCATCTGTTTGATCATGATAGTGATACTGACGTCACGTAACTGAAGTAGAGTCATGTCAGAGGTCTGGTCGTTTATTTACAGTATCAAAAAAAAGACCCAAATGTGTATGTGCGTATACGTATAATATAATTTGTGTGTTTGTGTAAATATCGGTTATCGGCCGTAACAGCAATAATTATATCAGATATTGATATCGGCTGAAATTTTCATATCGATGCATCCCTAGATAAAACTTTACAAACTGAAGTCCCGCCGTCATCTCCTTCTCAGAGAAGTTTTCTCCTGCAACCCTTCCAAACAAGCCCTGCCTGTTCAGTCTTTATTACCCCCCATCGTAGAGCAAAGAGGGGGATTGCAAAAATGATCCGACTTGTGAGACGGATTAATTGAAAAATAAGTGAGGTACTAAATTCTGTTTTGATGTGTGGCTGCATCTATTTGTAAGAAAAATCCTTATTTCCATGTCAAAATCCAAGATGGTCACGGCCATATTAAAAAAAGAAAATCTTAAGTTTATATACGTAGATTGGTCATCCCAATCATTAGATTAAGCTATACTCTCTAGTTTTCATTTTGCTTAAAAAGTATAGTTGTCACTCTGGACCCCTTGCTAACTGAGATCTGTGATGGAGCTCTTGAGTTTTTTTGTCATTTCTCTGATCATTGCATGGTTTAATAAACAATGACATGGTTTAATAATCTGCTGTTTTTGTGCACTTGAGGTTTAAATAATTTCAAACCTGGTCAGATCATTTTATTGTGCTGATTATTAAAACCAGAATGAAAAGAACAGGATTTTCCTTTTCCATGACTAAATCATTGCTGTCATGTGATCAGTGTAAATATTTTATCTGTGGTCTGCAAGCCAAGGTAAAAGAGAGTATGATGCAACATTGCCCCCTTAAGGACTCTGGGTAGACATGCACTTATTAACAGTTATGAGGGCCCAGTTGCTGCAATAATAAAATATATATTAGAGCACATGTGAATGCAATAAACAGCCAAGTGATTTTATGTGTCTAATATGTAATCAAAGTGCATAGTTAGGTATTCATATAGCAAAGCTATATATAGTCCCTTATTTATCTCCAGAGCCAAGACTTGCAGTACATTTATGTTTTGAAAAGCTTTTCAGCTTCGTAATCACACACAGGAGCTTATTGTAATCGATTCCAAAGAGAAACATTGAGAATCAACTAATAAACGAATGTATTGTACTTTCCTTTTTCTATAGAAGAGCAAAATGTTTCCACAAAATGTAACTTACCAACCAGCAGAACGCTGTAAAATGTCTTGTTTATAGATAACGCTGAGTGGGTGCATAGAGGACATTAAAAAAACAGGAAGGAGTAAGATATTACTGTCCAATCACAGTGCTGTTATTGTGCCTGCTGTATCCCCTTCTATGCTACCTGTCAATCAATAAACAGTTTATCAAACCAATCTGTGGATTCCTTCTGGTTTTTTTGCTGAAAGAAAATGAATTTAGATCCTAGTGGTGACTTTTGATTGTTGTGCACTTGGAAACAGTGGCAGAGCTATTTATACTTTTTATACAGTACATTGTTTCATCTAACCTGGTACCTAAGGTACATGTATTTTTTTTTTACAATTTTCATAACCTGTTCTGATGCATCTCAGTAATCCAGGTAGAGAAATCTGAAAAGTTAAGTAGGTCTTCTGGATGGGTTCTTCTTTAATAAAACATTAATGTCTCTCTTCTGATATCTCTCCTCTAAACGTTCAGTCTGAGGGTTTTCAGGTAAACAGCCTTATAAGCACTGCCTCCACATAGTGGACAAACAGGTATAGAATAGAATAGAATAGAATAGAATAGAATAGAATAGAATAGAATAGAAATAGCCTTTATTGTCCCGCCGAGGGGAAATCCAGGTGTCACAGCAGCATCCGTACAAAGGTTCACACACTAGTTACTTTACAATCTATAGATAATACACACAAAAAATAACATTAACTAGCAATGATACGACTAATAATAAAATAAATATATAAAGAATTGTGCAAGAATTTAAAAAAAGATATGTTTTGTTTTAGAGACAGTAGACTATCAGAATCTGACATTAGGAATTAGAATTTGCCTGTTTTCAGTGCAAAACAATCTGAACAGACTATTAACTGTAAAGTATCACAATGCAGACAAGAAACATGCGCATTTACAGCAGAATTATTTTTAAAGTTTAAAATGGGTAATAACAGAGCAAGTGATTGCTCATTAGTAATGATATAAATGAGTAGTAGTGCAAATGATTGTTCAGACAGCAGGTGTGTAAACACTTATTGTGATTTTTGGGCGTGGTGCTTGTGTCTGACAGCTGCTGGGAGGAAGGATCTGTGATAACGATCCTTTGTGCACCTCAGATACAGCAGGTTTTAATCCAGCAGATGACAGTTTGTTCACATGCAAAAGAAGACCCTCAGCCTAACAATAGATCAGGGCACTAAGGATTTACAAAATTGCTGTGATGTAATTGTATTTAAAAAATAAGATAATGGTAAATATGGTTGTTAAATTGTAATAAAGACATGCACAACTTTTCCCCCCTTTTAGATATAAGAAAATACTTGTATATTTAAAAAAAAAAACTACCTGTTTACAGACAGGATTAAATTTTTCGTAAAGCACCTGTATGAATTAAGCAGATAGTTTTGGCACAAATGGAACTCCATAACGTTTCCTGTTTTTCCCGACATCTTGGATAATTTTTTGGAAAACAGTAACATAACAATAATTAAGTTTAACATTAAAATATCCCTGCAGAGACAGAGGGAAGTGTAGTCCCATTCATCCCCAGTGTCTCTCCAGGTAATAGTCGGTGCCAGCCAACCCTCTGCTTCACTTCCTTGTTGTCGCGCGGCTCCAAAGTAAAAAAGAAAGAGAAAGTAAAAGAAGCCGCCAGCAGTCTTTCCATTATTAACCTGCCAGTCTTCCAGCAGCAGCAGCTCAGACATGCTGTTTACCGTCTGACTCTGAAAAACTTCACATTTATCGATAAAACTGTAACAATCAGAGGACAGGTCGAGCTGAGGTCAGCTGAGGTCAGGAGGAAAATGTCCCGCGGCTCCAACGCAGGTTTCGACCGACACATCACCATCTTTTCACCGGAGGGCCGCCTCTACCAAGTCGGTGAGGAAACTTAACACTTTGTTTCATCTACTTACTAAAACAGAAGTAAAGCTTATTTTTATTTACCCTGCGTTATTCCCCAGCTGTATAAATTTAATCCCAATCTGTTAGCTCAAAAGTCTTTCTCCTGCCAGATTCATGTGATTTGTCAACAGGTGTGCTGCTCAGGAGCCTGTTAATCCAGATTAATCTGAAACACCTGGAAAGATATTCAGTCAGGTAGCTTTGCTGGATCATATTTTCAGGGCAGTTTACTTTTTTACATTCTCAACAATATCTCAATTAGTATTCACTGCAAGTAGTATTTATAATAAATAAATATTAGGCACTCTCAACAAGCCACCCCTGAAAACCTGACTGCCCCTTTCAGCCTCAAAGCTTTACTGGGTGCTTTTTTTTCTAGATTCCTAGATATTTAGGATTACTGAAACATCATAAACATAAAAATATTGTTTTTGAGCAAATAGGAGTTATAAATATCTATGTTGTTTAAAATAAAACTTAAAATCTACTCCCCATGAGAAATTACAGCCAGTCTAAAACCAGTGTCCGTATCTATAATGTAAGCTTCAATAAGTTAAATAGTGACAGCGATTTTCTTAATATATTATACCAACTATAATACAAAGACAAACTCAGAAGGTATAAAAATCTCCAGGACTTCTGTTCTGACTATTTTCTGATATATGAATACAAAATGGTTTCATGTACAGACAATTGATCCGGTATAGGCGGGGAGGGATGGGAGGGATTTTGGGGGGGTGTGTTTTGTTTTGTGTAAGTCTGTTCTTTTTTATGGCTTATGTTAAAAAATAATAATAAAAAAAAAAAACCTTGATCAAAAAAAAATTACAAATGACTCTCATCTTATCTGAGTTGGAGCCATGCTTGTTGGCTGTGGCAGCCATCTTGAATTAGGTTGACTCCAAAAGTTAACCAGCTGTGGAAGTACATAAAATGACTTTCACTGGTGCTTAGTTGTTGTAGTCATTGCACACAAACCTTATGGCTCTGCATTCATGGTAACTAACATGTCAAAACTAACACTTTACTTATTTTAGTCCTGAAGTTTTAGATTTAGACATCTAAAATGTTAATTTTGTCTTCAGTTATACTGAGATAAGTTTTTAAACTGTTTTTTTAATTCATTCATTTATTTTTATTTTTACTGTGTTTTATGGTGATGATGATGCAAACTTTAGTGCTCTTTGGCCTGTATTCTGTTCGTGTGTTCATGAAAACACAATATGAAGTGAATGATGTTTCAAAATTGCTCAAATACACACAGGCTCAGTGTTGGATCCATAAACCAAACCAGTTCTCTAAAGATTCTAAATCCTAGTATGCCCCCCCACCCAACCAGTTAAGACCTGCAACTCCAAACCTAGTGAAGTCTTGCAGTCATTACTGGGTCGGTTCCTAACTGTTCCTCTCATGTGGTTTCTTACAGAATATGCCTTTAAAGCCATCGGTCAGAGTGGGCTGACATCTGTCGGGATCCGGGGGACAGACACTGTGGTGGTTGTTACGCAAAAGAAAGTACCGGTATGATGCAGCCCTCACACACACACACACGTTTGTATTTCTATCCTTATTAGGACTGTTCATTGACTTCCATTCATTTCCAGTCATTTTTGTAGCCTAAACCTGACCCCTAACCCTAAACCTACTCCCCCCAGTACATACCTAACACTAAACCTAGTCTAAACTCAATTCACACCTTAGTCCTAAACTGAAACTCTAACCCAGAAATGGAGTTCCATCATATTAGGACCGGTCTTTGGTCCCCATAAGGACCACTGTGTATGTACACTATTATAATGTTGATCGGGTGAGCTGGAGGCAGTGAAGCCACACGAGTATCTTGTTGGAAGCTGGAACAAAATACAAAAATATGAACTGAATACACCCAGGAAGCTGCCAGTCTCACATTACCACGCCACAAACCTCTTTCTAAGCATTTATTATTTGAAAGAAGAGGACTAAACTGTGGTTTGCCATCAACTGTTCTAGAAAGTATACAGCGGGTAAAATAAGTATTGAACACATCAACATTTTTCTTAGTAAATATATTACTAGAGGTGCTAATGACATGAA